ATAAAACCATGAAACAAGAGCTAAACAAAGTCAAATAACTCAGTAAAACGGAATATGACAAAATTAAAAGTAGCTCTATAAGTAACATAAAAAATGATAATTTAAAGCTAAATAGAATACAATTATTAGCTGTATAAATATAATCATTATGTTAGAAAATGTGCTCCACTGCCAGTCCAATATTACCACCCACAGTACAGAATGCAATCTTAAAAGCAATCTTGATTTTATTTTGACTGTTTTACTTTCAAAAACATATATCTGTGCTACAGATTACGTGCAAACGCAGACTTTTCTATCACATCAAAATGTGAAATGCTAAGGGTTCATAAAATTTATATTTTCCTGCCGTCCGTGAATATTACTTGCATTTTGTGAGCTACCATGAACGCACCGTTACGGCTGCTGTGATTGGCTGTGACCTGCGTAGCTCCTCCCTGCACAGCCCTCCTGTCCCGGAAGAGGGAAGCAGCTTCGCAGAGAGAGAGAGGGGAAATGTTTGTTGACAGCAGCAGAAATCTTCCGAATCAGACTGCTGACAAGTTTTAGCCCACTTTCTGTCCCATTAAACCCATCCAGCATCGCTCTCTGGCATTCTGATCTCGCATGAACTCTCAAGGTAACTTTCCTGTTACAACTATGTCCGCAGAAGAAGACGCCCGGTGGCTGCTCTCCAGTTAACTTGTGCTTATGAACTGTTTCAGGTATGGAATATGGCAACGACTGAAACGCAGCTTATGTTAAGCGTGGGATTAATCGGTAAGTTTCGGTTAGGAAGTCGTTCTTTTGTCTTTTTTTTTTTCAAGCGAAGTCGGCGTCTCAGATCCGCTGAACATGCAGGACAATCACATGATACTATTGTGATCCGAGAATGTCCCCTCACTGGTTTATTGCTCCTGCATGTTCAACCTGAATGGCTCTGGATGGGTTCCTGAGCGCCTCCAGTAACCTTGTTATTGGTAGTGATGCTCTTAGAAGACCCTGAAAGTCCAGTCTGAATGCATTTCTTCCTCCTGATATGCTAAATGTTGCTACATGTTGCTTTTATTTCCCCTCCTTCAGAGAAAGATGTGAATGGAGACACTTTGTGGGTGTGGTGCTATCCATCTGTGGGCGACGAACTAAGGGAAGTCCTGCTCAGCAAGTGCTGCCTGACACACGATGGCCGTGACTTTCACACCTTTGTGTTTGGTCAGTTCTCCCGTACCTGGTATTACATTACTACAATGGAAGTACAGGAGCCGACAGCACTAAACAAGGTATTTATCCAGACATTAGCTTAATCCTTTTTGTCACATATAATATCTCCATAGATGATATATATAATAGATGAGCATTTCTTTAATGTCTCTCTTTCTCTTCGTCAAGGTCACTCATTTTTCAGTAGTTGTTACAGCAAAAGACTTCAACCCTGAGAAATATGCTGCACTCAGTAGAATACTCTGCAGGTGACAGTCTTTATGAATACGAAGCATCACCTTATGTCTTTGTGCTTTGGGCTGAACTCACACCGTTACATTTATTTCTCAGGATGTATGTCAAACACGGAAGTCCGGTGAAAATGATGGAAGCCTACATCACCGTCCTCACCAAAGGAATCTGTCAGAGCGACGAAAACGGCTCGTTTCTCATTAAGGACTACGATGTTCGGAAAGCCTACTTGGCAGGTTCAGTCAAAGGTAGGACTTCACATTTGTAAAGAGGAACACACATAAAAATACTGAACACCTTTCCCGGACTTTCCTGTGTACACAAATCTGCTATTTAAGATTTTTGTTATTTGTTTCATTTGTTTTATTGTGGCCCAACACTGTTTGAACTTTTTGAAAGCAAAGAATTCATGCTTTTTAGCTCTTATTAGAAACCCCCACTGTTACTGGAGGTTTTTAGGAAGTAAAAAAAAGGAAAAATCCAATGTTAACACATCAGGGTCAGCTGATATTTCACATGAAAATTAAAGTTTTCTTACAACCTCAACAGCAGTCCTGAGAAAATCTAATAAACTTACCGCTTTAATAAGAGGAGGGTACCCAGGTGCTGCTAATCAAATGTACTTGATTAACTTATCATTGTTAAGTGTGAGAACCTCTATAAAAGCAGAAGTTTTGTCAGTTTGCTGCTCTGGAGCATTGAGGCGTGTGTTAACACAATACCACAATCCTTCCAGAAGTGCACGTTACAGTCATTGAGTCGACCAGAATTCCCCTGTATATCAAAGAGGCCCATGTGTCTGATAGCTGAAGTTTTCCTTAAAAGAGCTGTGCATAAATGACTGACTGTAAAACGTCAATGAACTGAAGCTATGCTGTAAAGAAGACTGGGCCACAATGCCTCTAGTGTTGTTAGAGACTGATGAAATGAGTTTATGTTATTGCTGATTAAAGTGGTCGCACGAGCTACCGAATGATGAGGTGTACTTAATCATGTCTCCACACAGTCTCGTGAAAAAGATTTTTACACGGGCATATACATATATAGTGAGATATACTTTAAATGGAAAATGATGGGGTTGTCGTTTATTAACTTTGAAGTTATAACTGTTTGCTCAGCTGTGATGCTACTCTGCTACTCGTGCAGCAGATGGTGCTCAGCGTGCCGGAAACAATGGAGCCAGAGTCATAATCATGGAGAAAATACACGATAGCTGCTTGAGATATCATCTCAAGCAACAATTTCTGCATTAAGTAGTGTAAAAAATATGGGATAACAATAAATGAATTGCTGGGGACGGCAGGAAAACATTATGCAAACGCAGTTTGGCATCTAGGTAATTATTATATCCATTTTTAATTGATGTACAGCTTTTTTTAATCAATTCATTGAACATTTTAAAATGTTAGCTGTTAGTGGAAAAAGTCACAAGATCTCAAATCTTCGACCATGTTTCTGCTCTTGTCTCAGATCTGGTGTCTCAGTTCGGGATGGAGACCATCATCCTGTATACAGCCTTGATGCTAAAGAAGCGGATTGTTGTCCATCACCCTCGGATTGAAGCGTTGTTGGAGTTCACGAGGTGAATTTAAGACTTTCATAATCATTTCATAGTGGACATAATTGTGTTGTGTGGGTAACTCTTTTGTCTGTTTGTCTCTCAGAGTTCTGCCGGCTCTCGTGTGGCACAGGAAAGACTGGTCCATCCTCCACCCGTACATCCACCTGAGTGATGCTGAACTGGAGGATTTAAAGAAATGCCCCGGTGAGGATGCCTACTGGTTTATCTGTGTAATTAACAGAAAACTCATCACGCAGCTTAGCAACTATCTGCACTGCCATGACTGGGCTGAATGGGTGGATTATTAATGCTCCAATATGTTTGCCTCCTCCACAGGATACATAGCAGGGTTTGTAAATCCGGATGTGAGCAACAGAACGGATTTGTTTGATGTGTTTGTGAACCTCCCAGACAGCACCATCACAGTATCCCAGAGTGCTAAAGGTAGCATGTGTTCAAAGAGAGAGCGATATGTTGCTTTGATTCTCTCAGACTGATGCTGAGTCTCTCACAACAGAAGCCATGGCTATGGGGAAGTTGCACAAGGACATCGGCCAACTCATCGTGCAGTCTGCGGAGGACGCAGAGAAGTCAGACAGTCAGGTGATCAAGGTAAGAACGTAGTTAAAAACACCGGACAGGAAAGCGCCAGCTGTAAGAAACCTAGTCTTAAATCTAATGTGCCCTTCATCTGCAGGACATTTCTGTCAAGACTAAAGAGATCCTCGCTAACCTGGTTGCTCTTGCTGATGAGTGTGAAGACTCTAAAATCACACTGGAAGGTTTAAAGCAGCGTCATTTCCCTCCAGCGACGGAGAACTTCCTCTTTCATTTGGCGGCTGCAGAGCAGCTCTTGAGGATATAAAGCTGTTTTCAAACACTCTACTGCAGGTTACCATCTGCAGCATGGACTCACTGTTGGGATCATTACGGTTTTTGTTTTTTTAAATGGCACACTGTTAATACAAGGAAGAAAAGTGTCCCTAGCATCAGATTTTATGGTGCACTGCTTATCTAATCCATCAGAGGACTCATACACCAATAATGGGAGCAATGAAAGGATTAGTTTGGTGATAATTAAGGTTTTTTTTAGCAGAAACTAAATTAATCTGCAGCTCAAGTTATTAAAAATATCAACACACAATGTGAACAGACTGGCTGCTGCCTGAGTGACCTCAGTGCACAGCTGCTTGAGTTTTTGTGTAATCTGAAACGATGGTCTTTATGTGGGATTTGCTGAAAATGTAAAACAATGCAAGTTTTATCCCTTAACAGTAACAGGTATGAGGGGAAAAGCGCCGCAACTGTTGACTTGGAGTTTGCAGAGCAGAAACAACGAGCAGTGATTTTCCATCAGAGTGTTTTCCCACACGTTGGCTTCCTGTTCACGGTGCAACGCAGCAACTCAGCAACTCAGCAACTCCAAACGTCACAAAGCTTGATCGTGGCTGGGTACTCACTTTGTACTGTCACATGTGTGTGCAGGTTTTGCAATTACCGATTTAGCTGATAGAAACTTTGCTGTGCGGGGAAATCAGATTACAAGTGTAGCGGACACTGCACAACTTGTAGATTCTTTTGTTTTTTTCCTTTTAAAGGAATGTCACATTTTCTATTTTGCTAACAGCATTAGCGCCGCGCACAGCTGAAACAGAAGTAAACTGTTGTGCGGTGGGGATTTTTCAGAGTTGTACTAACAGCTTCCACTTCAGTCTTGAGCTGATTAAATAACGATTAATGCTTCCATGCCCACACTGACTCACTTGTATTTAATTACACGTCTTATTTTCCAAGCTCTTTTTTTTCTCCACTCTTCTAAATCAGTGTCGTTAGCGCCATTGTTGTACGGTTGAATCCATTTTTCACCACATTGCAGTATTTCAGGTGACGGTAACACATAGGCTCGTGCATCTTTGAAAATATATTTTCATGAAAATGTGTAATATTTGCTATATCTATAAATCCAACTAATACTCAAAGTGAAATAAATTTCTATCAGAAAGTAAACTGTTGCTTGAAATAAACTCTTTATTTTGGGGTGTGTGGGGGTGGGGGAGCGTGTGTGGTGTGGGGGTTGTTCCTGTCATGCTCTCTGCAGTTTGTGGAACATGTGTCAGTGGATTGTGTGTCTTCTATCTATCTAAAGCTGCTTTTCAGAGTCCTCTGTGGTAGAATAAATGTCTCCCAACTGCTGCAGCCTGCAGCTCCTCCTCCAACTGCTCCCTCTTTATCTGCAAAACAAGGTCAGTGTCAGCTAAGTTCAAGAAAGCAAAACAAAACCTGAGAGCAGAGGAGGACCCCGACCCTTACCGTTCCCAGCTGTGGAAAGAGACTGAATGAAACGGGAATCATCAGGCCAAGGACGAGCGCGGCGCTTATGTGTCGGAGAGGAGCGACAAGCAGAGAGTTCCTCTGGAAAGATCTCACCCTGTAAAGAAAAATCTATTCGGTCAAACCTGATTTTCTTCGGAGGGTGTTAAAGACGGCTTTAACAAAAGGCTGACCTTTTCATGAGTAGCACCAGCAGATTAGGAATGGCGGCGGTCATACCGAATAGTGCCGCTCTTGACAAGGCAGTCTCCCACACAGCCTTATGAAAAAGGAAAGATCTTTAGTACATCAAGATTTCACTGAAATTACTGATTTTTCTTCTTCTTTTTTTTTTTTTAAATTTAAAAATACCTTTTCTCCTGCTGCTTTGGACATGCCAACAGGATTTCCATTGTGATCAAACACTTGGATGCCAGTTTCTGACTCCTCACTTCTGACAGTTAACACATTGAAGAAGGCCAGAGTAGCTGAGGAGAGTAAAACAACATTGCAGAGCTGAAAGTATGCTAGTTCATTTACTCTTTTAGGGTACCAATAGGCTCAGGCTTCATTTTTTTTTCCTATTATCCCCAATATGGTCTTCCCAGGCAAATATGTGAGCTCATACCACCTGCTATGAAACCTTCATTTGGCAAGAGGAAGCCAATCAGGATAAGAAGAAAATTACTTTAAAAGCAGAGCAGCTTGTTTCAGACAGAGGGTCTGCACCAAAGCTAAGTGTAAAATACACAAGGATTATTCTGAACTGTAAATCATGCAAAGCTACTCTAGTAGAAAACCTAAAATGCAAACTTTAAATACAGTGTCTGCATTGGGATGATTTCTACTGTATGAGTCTCCACAATACTATTTATGCAGTAAGCACAGCAGCTTGTATTCAGCACACAGAACTTACCTGAGAGAGGGATTGGTAATATTGACCTAAAGAAAGTCTGCACTGCTGAGCTTCTTAAACCTAGTCTGTTGATAAAAATCTGAGGGAGGGCCTGAAACAGAAGATACAAAGTAACAATGACTGAAAAACCAAAAGTTTACTTGAGGCATTACGGTTACGATTTCCATAATCAAAATGCACACACCCCTGCACATGTTGTATAGGAGACTGTACCAGTGATCAACAGAAGCTGCTTCAGAGAAATGTTGTACCCCTGGTGCTGAGAGATAAGTGCAGAAACAGAGGGAGGGCTCGAGATTAGAGAAAAGACACTTAAAAAAAATGATTAAGCTATTTGATCACACAATCAGCTCATAAATGAAAATATAGGCCTGATCTAAACACTTTACCTGCTCTGATGAAGAATTTCTGTTTGCATAATTGAACCCAGCACTGTAACTCTGCAGCAGAAACTGAAAGAGTGCAGGGGAATATTTGCCATTAGTTACTTTGTTCATGTCTAATATATATATATTTATCAATCTGATCAATATGCTTTGTTACCTGCCAAAACAGAGCAGGTTTCACAGTGCTGTGTGGCAAAAGACTGGCAACAACCTGTGAAATTAAATAAATAAACTTCCTTTTGAAAAAAGAAAATATATATATAAATATAAATAAAGGAGTAGACACCTACCAAAGGTCCTGATATAGGAAGAAATGCTGAAAAGAAGCAGGTGGACATAAACTCATCAGAATCTCCTGTAAAACTCTTTCAGCGATATACAGCACTGTGCAAAAGTCTTGAGGCGCACCTTGTTTGTGTTTT